TGAACCAACTCATTACTTTAAAAATCAGTATATAGAGGGAAAGAAGAAATTATACCATCTTTCTTATAAAACTTGTGCTAGTGGGTAACCAAATATTAGATAGGAGAAAGTTTCTTTTACAGAAATATTCCAGCTAACTCTGGCTAGTTTGGCTTGGTGATTACAGCATAGGCCCATGGACTGAAGGGTCTCGGGTTTGACTCCTGGTCAGGGGCACATACCTGGGTTGCAGATTCGATCCCTAGCCCCAGTCGGGGTCCTGAGGGAGGCAATCAATCGATGTGTCTCTCTCACATCGATGTTTCTCTCTCTCTCTCCCTTCTATTCTATCTAAAAATCAATAGAAAAATGTCCTCAGGTGAATATTAACAATGAAAAATATCCCAGCTAATAAATGAAAAAACAATGACAAAATTAAAATGTTGCCATTGTATATCTGTTTCCATCCAATTATTTCTTCAGTCAAAGGACTTGGTTTTCAATGCTTTGCACTTAATAATTTACATATATAATTTAGTTATCATTTATGGTTAGAGAGCATAACTAATTGACTGTCTTGATTGAAACAATAAATTGAATACATGGTTTGTTCAAGAGTCATACTATTCAATTTTACTTCTAATCTACAGCACAATGACATCAACAGTATAATTTTTTGAGAAGAATCCCTTGATGTGACAGTGAGAGTTTTATACTACTTATATTAGTTTGCTAATGCTACCAAAACAAAATACCACAGTTTAAATGTTTAAACAATAGAAATTTATTTTCTCATAGCTCTAGAGGCTGGAAGTCTAATATAGTATTAGCAAGTTTGGTTTCTTCTGAGGCTTCTCTCCTCGGCTTGCGGATGGCTGCCTTCTTGCAGTGTCCTCTGGTGGTCTGTTCTCTCTGTGTGTACTCCCCTGGTATCTCTGTGTGTCTTAATTTCTCCTTAGAAGGATACCAGTAAGACTGGATTAGGACCCACCCTAGAGGTCTTATTTTTAAAGTAATCTTTAAAGCTCTTTTTCTACAGTCACCTTCCAAGGTTCTGGGGATTAAAGTTTCAACATGTAAATTTTGTAAGAGCACAGTTCAGTCCATAACACTGTCATTTCAGCACACCAGGAAGAGAATGATGTCAATGCACACATTTCAATACATGACCCATCAGTATTAGTAAAACAATGAATATGAGTTTGATTCTCCCAAACTCCTCTAATCCACTATGGAGAAAGGGCATTATTAAACAGTCTCTATTGTTAGTTTTCCCTAAGACTTCTACTTTATTCAAAGCAGGGAGAAGTTGAGGGTAATTATCTTGGTAAAAAGGTGAGATAATTGCACCAGAATATAAAGAACTATCATTCATCTATTCAATTGGCTTCTGTAGGCTACACACCAGATATGAAATTGTTAAATGTCTAGAAACTAAACTGTAACCTTATATTCTTTGTTCTACTATCTCCGATAAATGTAAAAAATTTAGAACTCACTGTATCCTAATCAGCCTCAAATTCTCAGAGTAAACCACCTCTGTTTCACTGTTTCAGCTCCCATTTCAATAGGGATGAATTATCACTATTCTGTGCATAATGCAGTTGGTAAAGAAGCATGTAAACAACTGATATGTTAGTGATGATGATGAGTCAGGCAGGAATATCAGAAAGGTTTCTGGAAGAAGTGACCTGTATACAAACTGCATCTGGAAAGTTTGGTAGGCACTGATCAAGTAAAGAAATGAGGCAAATGAACCACTACGTGCAAAGACACTATGATGTGAACCAGCAGAGAATGTTAGGCAACTAAAAGTAGCCCAGTATTGACATAGTGAAAAACATGGAAAGCAATATGAGAAATAAGAGCTAGGATGGTGCCTGATCATTCCCAAATAATTGTATTATTTCATAAATAGTATTAATCACAGATTCTAAGTAGCTTGGCTAAGGGCACAAAGCTAGTGAATGCAGAACCAGGATTTGCAACAAATTTAACTCCAAATCTTTCAGTTAGCAGAGTGACTCAATTTTCCTATGTTATTCCTGGTTTATAACTATTGTCTCTACATCAGTATAAATGGGGCCATTTACCCTACAAATGTTCTGATTTGGGCGATATCTTCATCCTATCTCTTAAGCCACCCACCATGCTATATTTTTCTAGGCCCAAGAAAACTAAGGTTTCATTAATTTCTCACATTCATTAGTGAAATTAATGCCTGAAAGAAAGAATGCTGATCAAAATAATCATGCATTTAGAAAAGTTTGGGGGGTATCACCTTAACAAATAATCCAGTATATACTAAATTAATTTTTATAAAACATTGTCATTTTTAAAAAAAAGTTAACATGGCAGAAAGAACAAAAAAAGAAAAGTCATTATTTTCTCATTTTATTTATTTATTTTTATCCTCACCCGAGAACATTCTTCCATTTTTTGTTCAGATGGGGGGAGAGGGGTGCAGAGAAACATCGAAGTGAAAGGGACACATCGAGTGGCTGCCTCCCGCACAACCCCAACCAGAGCCAGGGACAAATTGCAACCCGGGTACGTGCCCTTGACTGGAAATGAACCTGTGACTCATTGATCCGTGGGCTGACGCTCTAACCACTGAGCAAAACTGGCCAGGGCTATTTTCTCATTTTAATTTGGTTCAAAGAAACTATGTATTTAAATACTTCAGTTATACCACAGCCATACATTCTAACGCCTATGGGAAGATAATTAGATCAGCAAAATTCTAGTCAACAGGTCTCTCTTGCCTTGGCCAGTGTGGCTCATTGATTGAGCATCATCCTGTACACCAAAAGATCACCGGATCAATTCTCAGTCAGGACCCATACCCAGGTTGTGGGTTCAATCTCCCAGGGTGTGAATGGGGGGGGGCAATGAATCAATGTTTTTCTCTCACATGGATGTTTCTCACTCTCTCAAAAAATCAATAAAAACATTTAAAAAAAACCCAACCAACTAAACAAACAAAACCCAGGTCTCTCTGTTTGCACAGGTCCTCTGAAGCACATACTCCATGTACTACTTCCTACCTTCCAAGAAATGAAGTTATAGTTACTCTATTGAAAATATTAACATCTGAGCAGACTGCTTACCCCCCGCACACTTGTTCATTGGCATGTAAAAAACTAAATATGCCAGATACTTGCTTTTCTGATAGGCAGAGGCAAATATCAAGCCAGGCTAATGGGAATGCCTTAAGGGCAAATATGCGCTGCCAGTGGGTTGTCTGGAAAAGGTTCCCCTCCTTGACATACACAGACTATGGAGAAGATATTTCCCACTCCTCACCCAATTTTAATTTTGCTCTTGGCTGTGCATATGGAAAAACACAATTCCGGATTTGGGGTGATCACCTTATGACTAGAAGGGGACAAGGGTAAGAATAAGGTCCGTATTTGGGAAAGTCAGAAGAAGAAAAAGACTGAAAGACCCCATGCCCTAGATAACATCATCAAGCAGTTTAATAAACCTGACTGCCCTTTCTCTAAAGTATATATTATCCCGTATAACAAGAGCTCTTATTTTTTAGGGCATTTCAAATTTGATGCACTTACTTATAGCTAAAATCATTTCAAGTGACACAATGGGTTATCAATCAAGTCTATGTAAATTATTCCATCGGAAATTATTCAGGACAATTATTGTCTTTTCAAACTCAGAAGCATAAATAAAAAAAAAAACAGAAGGATTAAACATCTAAAGAAAGAAATTGGGATTTCATTTTCTCAGAAGAGATAAATGAGATAATGGTCAAAAGTTAATATATACTGAGTATTTCCTATGTGCCAAATATTATACTTGATTAACTCAGTTAATCCTATTCTATTGAGGAGAAAACTGAAGCTTATAAAAGTTAAGCAAGGTCATATGAAGGAATTCTTCATAATCCACCTCAGTTGACTCCAGAGCTTAAGTACCAAATATTATAGGACAGCTAAAGATAGATGCATATTAGCTATTTTTTTCTATAAAGACGAGATCCAAGTCATCTCATGAGCATAAAAAGAACAGAAAGGAGTTAGGAACTTGAGAACCATGATTATAATTATGACCAACCACCATTGTTTTGCAATGGCAAAAAGACCTAATTTTACACATAAAGAAATCAAGCCCCAGATAGAGGAAACAAATTACTAGAAGATCTAGTGAAGTTAATATTCAGAGTCAGTAATAAAACCCAATGCAAACTTTTTGATTTCAAGGTTAGAGCACTTTTCATTTCACCAAACTCCACTGCCTCCCCTTTAAATTGCAGTATCATATCTTCAATATGCATGAGGGATGGGGGTAGGGTGAAATACACAAAGAAATAAAACTGTGAAGGTTTACTAAGTGAACAGAGTAGAACTCCATGTTCAATATTGACTAGTTGAAAACCTTTGATGTAAGCAGACAGCAAAACTGTGTATGGTGTTGATACATAGAAGAAAAATTTTAATAAAAAAATTACTTTGTTAAGATATCCATACTTCCTATTAAAAGCTTAAAGAATTAAATTTTCTTGGAAAATACCCACTTAATACAATGACTATTACTCAATGAATTTGAAAATAATCTTAGTAAAAACGAAACAAGCATAAATTGACTAACTGGAGAACTATGTATCATACTCTTCCTATAGCAAAGTAACCAAATTGAAAATTATCATTAATTTCCCCTAACAATTCATAATTGCATGGGGATAGACTAGATTGCTAAATATTAACCTTGAATCATTTGACAATCCTGTATGTGTACTCAAAAGGAGATGAGGATGGAACATATGTACAATTACTTATATTAATACAAAGTACCAAAAGCCAAAGAGGATGGGGAGGTTAAGATAATCTTATATCAACAGACTCAATATTTGGAGTCCCAAGAACCACTCATTCTCTTTCCTGGGAAGAATAATTTTCATGAATTACAGTAATATAAAATAATACTCACCTTTAACAACAATTTCAGTAAAATCTCAAGTCTCTATAATTGTATTTGGATCAAAGTAAAGAGAACTGGCTTACTCAGCAATATCGAGATATCCACAGGAAGCAGCTGCATGTAGTGGTATCCAGCCTTCATTATCAGGTTGATTAATATTTGCTCCATTTTCTACCAGAAACTTCACCATATCAACATTGTCATCAATGCAAGCCTAGAAACACAAAAGTTTGTAAGATTTGAATCAATATTCCCAATAATACACCAATGAATAAAATTCCCTCTTTGCAGCTTTTATAATATGAATATTCTCTGTAAACTAGCCTGCTGCTATTTTGATTTTACTGCCATCAAACAGACCAACGTACTAAGAATTTAAATTGTAGGAGTCCTTGCTTAGATACACGTGCAACAGTAGTGCATGTTACTAGATGATGCTAAAGCCATGAGGAAAACAAGTACATTTCATTAAAATGAAAACAATCAAAACATTGCAATTAAGCACCAAAAATATCCTCCATAACAATGGTTCCCAAAATGTGGTCTGCTGAGGGGGAAGAAATCCTTTCAGAGAGCTGACATAGTCAAAATCATTGTCAAAATAATACTAAGATGGTATTTCCCTTTTTCACTGTGTTGACACATGCAATTGATGGTTCAAAAGCACTAGTGGTAAAAGTGCTGGTACCTTAGTACAAATGATTTTAAAAAAAGAAAATCTAACAGTCACTGTCTTCACCACTATGCACTCAATTTAAAAAAAAAAAAAAGCTATCTTTACTTTTCAATGTCCTTTACAAAGCAGTAAAAATCATAAATTTATCAAACTTTTACCCTTAAATATGTATCTTTTTAATATTCCATGGAACAAGACAGAAGTATGCATAAACCACTTCTTAGAATGATTGCCCTGACAAAAAGCCCTTGTGTGGCTAAGTTGCAAGCTGAACCTGCCACTTTTCCCACGCAATATCATTTTTACTTAAATGACAAACTAGTTAGTTTAACTTGGATTTCTGGCAGAAATGTTCTTGAAAATGAACAAAGTAAGCCTGTCATTTCAAGAAAAACTAACAGTATTTATTGCCAATGATAAATTCATGCTTCCAAAAAGAGCACAATTAGTTATTTTAATTTTTTAAAATGTTAATTATGTAACATGGGTAAAGTATTGCTAATTTGAAGTGAATGAATACTTAAAATGCTCAGTTTTAACTTCTAGTATTGTATTTGTTTGTTTGTTTGTTTTTTTAATCCTCACCCGAGGATATTTTTCCATTTTTTGTACAGATAGAGTGGGAGGGAGAGGGAGGAAGGGAGAGAGAGAGAGAAACATCGACGTGAAGGGACACATCCAGTGGCTGCCATCCGCACGACCAACCAGGGCCGGGGAAAAACTGCAACCGAGGTACATGCCCTTAGCGGGAACCGAACCCGGGACTCTCTGGACCGCAGGCCGACGCTCTAACCGCTGAGCCAAACTGGCCAGGGCAACTTCTAGTATTGTAAATATTCGTACATATAATCCAAAAAAAAAAAAGTTCTTTTTAATAACTTTTAAGAATATAAAGTGCTCCTGAGATGAATAAACTTGAGGACCTCAGCCTATAGTAAATAAGGAAATTTTAATCAATGCTTACTTTGTGCCAAGTAGTGTATCTGGTCCTTTATCTATTTTACTGACTTATATGCATTATCTTCACAAAAACCCTCACAAGAACAAGAATTTTGCTGCATCCCCATCATTGTATACAGTTCTTGGCACGTAGTAGAGGCTCAATAAATGAATGAATGAACAAGAAAGCAAAGATTCAAAGAGATTAAGTAGTTTGAATAAGCCACACAGGTGGGAAATAATAGAGGTGAGATTCTAAAACATGTTCAGATTCCAAAAATAAGCTCTTTCCACACTTAAAACTGCTTTCCACAGATGTTCCCAGTTCATCAATGTATTCTTACCCATTTGCAATCTCTTCAACAGGATGTCATTCATACATTCTAGGCATTTAAATGTTTTCTAAATGAAACCAATTCTCTTTTACCTAACACAGAATCAATTAGCGTTTTCTTGGTGGAAAGAATGACAAAGCTGGTGTCAAGAAAAGCACGAAACACAATATCTTGTATCTAAAACAAAAAAGCATTAACTGGGACCCTGGCCAGTTTTGCTCAGTGGTTAGAGCGTTGGCCTGCGGTCCAGAGAGACCCGGGTTCGGTTCCCGGTAAGGGCACATACCCACCATGCTATTATTACCTCCAGCATAAGACTATCCTTTTCTAAACTGTACATGCAAAAATGTCTTCCTTCAATTTCTATCCCCTGCCTCCTGAAGATTCACATATCAAATGGAATTCCGATTTTAAATGATAACTTTTAAATATTATAAAGCCCCCGCTCCTTTGAATTGTCATATGTTATTTAGGTAAAATCTCTGATTTCTTCAGCTACATTTCATATTATATATGCTAAAAATTATATATGTCAAGGCCCTAGAGACACAGCAGAGGGAAAAGGTCACAGTATAATATAAAAGACTAGTTCATAAATAACAATGATTATATAAGGGCATAAAGGCAGAGGGTAAAAAGTTCAAAAATATCATTGGGGACACAAAAAGATATTCTTTTTAAATTTTATTTATTTTTATTTATTTAATTTATTTTTGTTACAGATGTTTCTCCTTCTTTCCTCACTGATACGCCTTTCCCCCGCCCTCCCCGCCCTGTCCCCAGTTTTGTTGTCCATGTCCACTGTTCATGCATACATACATATAAGTTCTGTGGTTTCTCCCCCCCCACCCCTCTTCTGGGGACTGTTAATCTGTACCCCACTTCCATGTCTCTCGGACTACCCCGTTCCTCAGACTATTATGTTCATTATATTCCACAAATAAGTGAGATCATGTGATACTTGTCTTTCTCTGCTTGGCTTGTTTCGCTTAAGATAACTCTCCAGGTCCCTCCATGTCATCTCAAAGGATAAGAGATCTTTCTTTCTTACAGCTGCATACTATTCCATTGTGTATATGTACCACTGCGTTTTTATCCATTTGTCTACTGATGGACATTTGGGCTGTTTCCACATCTTAGCTATTCTAAATAGTGCTGCTATGAACATGGGGGTTCATATATTTTTTCAGATTGGTGTTTTAGGCTTCTTAGGGTATGTTCCTAGAAGTGGGATCACTGGGTCAAATTGAAGTTCAATTTTTAATTTTTTGAGGTAGCACCATATTGTTTTCCATAGTGGCTGCACCAGTCGGCATTCCCACCAGCAGTGTACAAGAATCCCCTTTTCTCCACAACCTCGCCAACACTTGTTGTTTGGTGATTTGTTGATGGCGGCCATTCTGACAGGTGTGAGGTGATACCTCATTGTTTTTTTAATTTGCATCACTCTGATGATTAGTGATGTTGAGCATTTCTTCATATGTCTCTTAGCCATTTGTATGTCCTGTTTGAAACAGTGTCTATTTAGTTCCTAGCCCACTTTTTAATTGGGTTCTTTGTCTTCCTTTTGTTGAGCTATATGAGTACTCTATATATATTGAAAATTAACCCCTTATCTGATGTATCATTGGCAATTATGCTCTCCCAAAGAGTGGGTTGCCTTTCCATTTTGGTGGTTGTTTCTTTTGCTGTGCAAAAGCTTTTGAGTTTGATGTAGTCCCGTGTTCATTTTCTCCTTTATTTCTGTTGGCTTAGATAATGTATCCGCGAAATTTCTGCTGTGTATGTCTGAAATTTTATTGTTTAGTTTCTTCTAGGATTTTTATGGATTCATGAGTCACATTTAAGTCTTTCATCCATTTTGAGTTTATTATTGTGTATGGTGTATGTTGATGGTCAAGTTTCATTTTTTTGCATGTAGCTGTTCAATATTCCCAACACCATTTGTTAAAGAGGTTGTCTTTACACCACTGTATGCTCTTGCCCACTCTGTCAAATAGTAATTGAGCATATTTGCCTTGGATCCATTTCTGGGTTCCATATTCTGTTCCATTGATCTATCTGCCTATTCTTGTGCCAGTACCAGGCTGTTTTGATTCAGTGGCTTTGTAGTATAACCTGAAATCTGGTAATACTATCCCTTCTACTTGGTTCTTCTTTTTCAAGATTGCTGTGGCTATTCGGGGTCTTTTTTGGTTCCATATGAACTTTTGAAGTATTTGTTCTAGTTCTGTGAAGTACGCCTTTGGTATTTTGATGGGGACTGCATTGAATCTATAGATTGCTTTGGGTAGTATGGACATTTAATGTTAATTATTCCAATCCATGAACAAGGTATGTGCTTCCACTTTTTTATATCTTCCTCTATTTCTTTTTTCAATGACCTATAGTTTTCTGCAAATAGGTCCTTTATTTCTTTGGTTAAGTTTATTCCTAGGTATCTTAATTTTTTTGCCGCAATGGTAAATGGGATTGATTTTTTAGTTTCTCTTTCTGTGAGTTCATCATTGATGCATAAGAATGACATCGATTTCTTGACGTTAATTTTGTATCCTGCTACTTTTCCAAATTTATTTATTAAGTCTAGTAAATTTTTGATGGAGCCTTTGGGGTTTTCTACGTATAGTGTCATGTCATCTGCCAATGACAGTTTCACTTCCTCCTTTCCAATTTGGATCCCTTTTATTTTTTCTTCCTGTCTGATTGCTGTGGCTAAGACTTCTAGTACTATGTTAAATAAGAATGGTGAAAGTGGGCATCCTTGTCTTGTTCCTCTTTTTTTTTAAAAAATCCTTACCTGAGGACATTTTTGTTGTTTTTTTGTTCAGATAGAGTGGGAGGGACAAAGAGGAAGAGAGAGAGAGAGAGAGAGAGAGAGAGAGAGAGAGAGAGAGAGAGAGAGAGAGAGAGAGAGGGGATGAGAAACATCGACGTGAAAGGGACATATCAAGTGGCCGCCACCCGCACGACCCAACCAGGGCCAGGGACAAACTGCAACCGACGTACGTGCCCTCAGTGGGAACTGAACCCAGGTCTCTCTGAACCGCAGGCTGACGCTCTAACCGCTGAGTCAAACTGGCCAGGCCGTCTTGTTCCTGTTCTTAAGGGAAATTCTTTTAGTTTTTGCCCACTGAGTATGATGTTGGCTGTAGGTTTCTCATATGTGGCCTTTGTTATGTCGAGATATGACCCATCTATTCCCAGATTGCTGAGCACTTTTATCAGAAATGGGTACTGGATTTTGTCAAATGCTTTTTTAATGTC